TGTCCCTATTACTAACTATGCAAAAAACATCTATTAAAAAGAGCAACACACAAGTTTCTTGCTCATTCTTCTTGTGATGAATCTCCATTCCGAATGAGTGGTAGAATCAAAATATGACTTTAATATGAGTTTATTTGAATAAAGATTATTTCTATTTCTATTTCTATGCACCATGTTAGGTAGAACTCCACTTCAGGTTTCCCCTGAAAACCATTGTGGTTAATTCCTGGTTATTTAATTAGGATGGGAAAACTGACCCGACCTCAAGCTCAACCTATCATCCATTGAACCATCAACCACTGGTGCCCCGCAAGCGTTAACGCAGTCCGGGACACCATTTCATTATCATCAATAAGAAAAAGCTTATTCCTTCCGAATAGCAAAACAAAATAGCATCGCGGGTGCCACATATTAATGTGATAGTGCTCTGTCATGGATATATTTGACGTTTACTGTTTACCATTTAAACCAGGACTTATTATTTAAAATACATTTAAAAAAAAAGTAAGTAAGGATATACGTGCGGACCGTGTGAAAGTCGATAAACTTGTCACATTTGCAATATGATAGTGGATAACGAATCCCCATTACTAAATATCCCTCACACCTATATAAGAATCAAACCCACAACCTAGGTCCTTATTTTACTCACTCATTGGCTTCTCTAGATGGATCGCGACCAACGGACTCAAGTAACCCTCGGCGTTCTGATACGGGTAGAAGTAGCCCGGGAACCCGGGACTGGGCAGGTACTTTATCGGTCCTATATTCTCTTTGTCGGCTGGGGTCTCACCGTAACACGACACCCACACCTGAAATTAAAACACTCTTTTTCAAAACCCACATATTTATATTTTGCACACTTATATTTTTATAGAGGAACTAAGTTTTGCACGCGGCTTCGCTCGCGTTAATTCCTACCCTTAGGGGTGGAATTTATCAAAATCCTTTCTTAGACGATGCCTACGTCATAGTAGTTTTATGCATACAAAGTCTCAGGCCGATCGGTTTAAAATTGACAAAGTTTCATACAAACTTTCAGCCCCTATTTTATCCCCTTGCGGGCAGAATTAATCAAAATCCTTTCATAGCGGATGCCTACATCACAACATCTACCTGCATGCCAGATTTCAGCCCGACCGTCCAGTGGTTTGGGCTGTGCGTTGATAGATCACTATGTCAGTCACCTTTGAGTTATATATATTTAGATGGTGTTGCAGTACTGAACTTACTTAGTATTAAAATGCTTTATAACCTTACCAAGTCATGCTGTATCCATATATAAATACTATTCATATTGTAAACAACATACATAATTCCTATGCAGAGGGTTGGATATAGTGTTAATGTGTGTCTGTAGGTCGCGCGGCATCTCCGCTGGTAAGCTGGTCGTGTCATTGTAGTATTCTGGTCGCCAGCCGTATATTCTGTAATAAAATACATATATGTATTTAAAATACACACATGGCTGCTTCGATAGGTTGCTCGGGGGTCGATACCTCGCTCGGTCCAAATATTTATATACATAAATATAATTATTTGTTTGTTCTTTAGATTTGTATTGTGGTAAGAAATATTTAAGTAAATTAGTTGTCTAGTACTAATTAATAATCGCTTTCACGCCAAAACTACACAAGCGATTTAAATTAAATTTGGCACACAGATAGTCCAGACCCTAAGAAAGGTCATAGGATACTTTTTAATGCGAAAAAAGGATTGTCAGGGGGTGAGAGACTAGATTAAAGATTGAATGGAAGTATTGTCATTTTTAAAGCTGTAAGCTCGAAACATATTTTTAAGCTCTTGAATAGATATCAATAAATATGATATTCAAAGTTTATATTTAAGGGGGTTAAGGAAAATAGGAGATGCAAGTTTTTATGGAAATTCGTCATTTAGAAGCTAGATCACAATACCACGCGGACATAGTCACGGGCAGAGCTAGTGATTTTATGGCTTACTTGTTCAGTTTGAGGAAGACACATGGAGATGACTTGTGGTAGGAGAAATGGTTCTCTTGTATGCAAGGTTCCCAAGCGCGCACATCCAGGTCACACACCTTACCAGTCGGTGGCAACTTGTCAAAGTCACAATCAAAGATGTTCTGACCTGCACCAGCTGTCTGACCCTTCTTTTTGTACACTGGAAAAAACATTTTCATCATTATGTCAATCATCTGCAGATTCTGCCAAACTGAAGAGGAACTTCACATCTGTGGTTGTAGCCCACTCATGTATAAACGAAATATCTCCTTTGGAAAGTTAACACTCTTTCTCGAGGAGATAAAAACCATCGCTCCTAAGAATATCCTTCAACCCGATTCAGTCCCTGACGGGTCTAGGTAGCGAACTTTGAAAAAGGGTGAGGACAATAGATCTATGTAGGTCGCAGTGCTACAGGTGCTACAAACATCTGGCAATAGCCCACACAACCGTATAAAAAAAAATGAACACATAGAATTTAAATTCTTATAGATTTTTGTAAACTCAATTTTATGCATAAAATAATATTTTAAATTTACACATATCACCTGCATTAGTCAGGTCTGCAAGGCATACTAAAACATGCAAAGGCCTCAAAAAACTTGCTATGCTCGCAGTTTCAAATACATGTAAAGTTATTCTGATGATAAATATCAACATCCATTCAGTAGATTGTGCTTGAAAGAGTAACAAACATCCATCCATACTCACAAACTTTTGTATTTATAATAATATAATAAAAAAAATATGATATCTATGTATATATTTAATTCGGAACTAGATTTCTATAATATAAATTATAAATAATTAATAATTTAAATTCTGTACTACATTACCTGACAGAAAGTCAATGAGTTGATCCTCCCAATACTTGTAACTGTCGTACCCTGTACCCTTGTACCATATCAGTGTGCTCCGTACATCTGGTGGTAACGGTCTGAACCCCAACCCTGGGCTGGTGCCAATAACGCTATACTCCTGCTGCAGTCTGGGTACACGAGGATTGATGAAGTGTTGATGGAATGTTACGTAACATATTGCAGAGAATGCTATGAGGCATGTGTAGAATATAACATAGAATAAGAGGAGTTGTCCTGCAACAAGAATCATCATATCATTGATGAAGAAACCTAACAGAAGTAGACAAAATGGCCTATACCTATCTTCATATAGGAGAAAAGCATTGTTAGTTATAGGGGCAATTACCTCATATTGCTAGAAATGTACCTCGTTGGGAGCCAGTCTCATTAACTGGGATAAGCTATTGGTCAATTCCCACAGACAGTATTGCAGGCACTGTGCCATCATATTCATACTTAAGTGCCACATATCATGCTCATAGGCCAACAGTGGTCATATAAGAGTTGCCCTGCCAGGTTGACCTCCATGCGGTTCCCCCTAGAAGCCATTGCAGTTAATTCCAACTAAATCCACTATTCTTCATCTGCATCATATCAGACTCCAGTTAGTATAGGTGTTGTCTCACAATATGATTATAATAAAAAAACATCTCTCTTCATTCTACTTATTTCATGGCTTACAAAGCAGACAAGCAGCTTTGTAAGCCATGTTTCAACTTAAAGGTGAGATATAGCAGTAAAATTACAGAATATTAATGTCTCTTCATTCTACATATTTCAGCAGACAAGCAGCTTTCTAAGCTGTTTTAATTTGTAGGTATAGCAGTGCAATTAAAAGATATGTGAGACATGACTTGTTAGTCTTCAGAGTGGCAACACATGGAGGTACAACAAACATTATGTGATAACATACCGTGTGCTATTCAAGTATATCTTTATAAGAACCATGTATTTTATGTTAAAATAAGCAATTGCAACTAACGAAAAGTTGGGCTGGCAACGAGTTTCCAGTTACATAAAAAAAATATAAATTCAATAAAATAACGTGAAATGTAACTAAAAAAAATTAACTATTACTGCAGCTTATTCGAACTTAATACTTAATTATTTTTTTTATTAAACTATATATCTAAATAGTATTGTATACTTATTCAAGCCATTCATAAATAAAATTTATATAAGCCACGCCCCTGAACGCTGGGCGTTTTTCTGGATGTTCTGGCAAATTTATAATAAATGGACTACAAAAAACGACAATTAATATTAAGTATTTAAAAAAAATAGGGAAAGCAGTTAACTCACCCCATCTTTTAGTGTTCGTCCAAGAAATTCTCCCGTATTTTCGTTATAACAGTGATCAACGAATTTCCTTTTCCAATCATTCTTATTCTTATACGGCTTTGTTTCCACTTGAAATTCTTGCAAACCAGGATTTCGATACATTATTTTATCCTAATGCACTATTTTTAACGTTAAAAAAATAATATAAATAATTATTACCGGTAAAAAGTCAGAGTAACAAAATAACCAATTTTAATAAATACAAACTTTCATTCGACAATGTCATTCATTCATTACCAAATCAAATTCAAATAAACTGATTGGTTATCATTTATGTCAATCAAGGCAGTAAAATATAGAATTAGAAGCAAGTCATTTCAAACAACTTGTTGACAGAATCCACAAACCCAGGTTTAGTAAATAGTCCTTATAATGGCTTTTCAATTTTATTTTAAAAACTTTTCATTTTAAACTGAATGGAACTGAATATTACTAAATATATATAGATCTTTTAACCGTTGGCATTGCTAACAACTCTTTACAATTCTATATCCACCTGAGGTGAAAAAATATAATGTGTGGCTTAGGACGTGTGAGATTTCAGACATTTTACATTTTAACTACTAAATTCATTGGTAACTGTTTCTTAATTGTACACAATTTTATAATTTTTTTATAGTAAATATAAAGAATGTGTATAGATGTTTCAATTGATGAGAACGTAATCGCTGTATTTTTCACAAAGTGAATGACTTTGTTGTTCTTTTTTGAAGAAATAAGAACACTGTAGTTTCATACCTTCATGTTTCTTATCATGTCAGAATAGCTGTATGATTGTAATTGATTTTGCCTTTGCAAATGATAAACAGAACTAAAAAAAACAACATGTCAGTTCATGTCGGACTAATTGGAGAATCAATTGCAATTATTTAATAAATACTAGAAATTCTTAAGAATCAAGTCCGTATTTTACAAAAAAATATTTTCAAGCCTCATCTAAGTTGAATCTTGATTTATGCGTTCTCTTCTCTGCTTTGTGGTTGTTTGATTGCTATTATAAAATGGCATCGTCACTAAATAAAATTATTGTTATTGTTGGATTTATTTCTTTATTTCACTCGGCATTTTCAGCAGCACAACGTAAGTGTACTAAAATATTATAGGCAATAAAATTTGCCATAAAATGTTCTGTACCCTATAGCATTTTGGGCGTATTTCCCATGCTCCTCACTCTCTTTGGGTAGATTACTTTAGATTTTTTCGCATATACATTACAATCAATGTTATATGAAGCTCCACAGTAAATTCTGTTCATTTCTCATAAGTTACCAACACTTAAAATATACTGTTTTAATTTCTCAGTGCCATGCATTCTTTAGATTGCAGACAACAAGCCCTCATTAAATAAATATTTATTTTTTACAGATCGCTCATACCTTCGGATTACTTCACAAGAATTCACAACATTGCCCTTAGATGTAAGAATAATTTTTATTTTTTTTATATAATGTATCAAACCTAGTTTCAGTAATCTATATATTAATATTTTTCTTCTAAAGCATGTTAGATCATTGTTTCTCAGTCTACAAACTTACCAAATTAAAAAAAAAATTATACATGTATAATTGGTTACAAACAAAAATATATATGTGAAAATTTATTCAATTGTTTTGTTTTCACAATAAAAAGAGCTACTAAATATAAAGCAATATAGGTCATGATTTTTAACCTAAAAAAACAATATGATGGTAATAAATACACTTGTAACCCTAGCAATAAGTTTCTATTAAACTAATCAATATTTCTAGAAATAGTCTAGTGTAAGATTAAATAATATAATATATAGAACCACTATATGACTATTCAAAAGTGCTTGTAATGAGTTTATTTGAATAAAGAGGAATTACTATTTCTATAATGATGGTAAAGCCATCCTCTACATTATTTTCTTATTTATATTATTACAAATATTGTCTATTTTGTAGATTGTCATCCAAGCCATAGCAAGTTTATTTGCTGTCATGTGGGGTGTGCTGAATATAGCTGGCAAATTACGCGAGATACCAGCTGCTGCAGAATTGAATACATTACGGTGGGAGAACCAAAGGAATCTACCATCTTTCTACATGTTCAACCACAGAGGGAGAGCTCTAGCTTATGACTATGTACCCAGTTCTAGTAAAGCAGAGTTAGAGAATATAGAATAGTGTATAAATATATTTATTTTGATGTTATGTTGTAAGATTGTAGTTCAGTATGAAGGGATTAATTGATTATTTTTAATATATATACTAGTATTACTACTGGTTGTAATGTTTATATTATTAAAGTTATGTAAAAAAACATTTTAATATATTTCAAATTCAGTCAACTTTATGATAATTTACAATAACACAATTAGATGCCAGTAGTTAAATTGACATTGGAATTCCTTTTTCTATTTGATGTTGGGTACAGCAGTAATTTTTCTAAAGGGTAAATTGTATAAAATAAAATGTGATAAGATTAAAAATACAGTTTTATTTATAACATTATTAGGTCGGCCCTCGCCATACAAACATTACATTGAAAATATCACAGTTCGATATTGTTATAAAAGAAATTGTATTCATTTAACAATAAAGTTTAATTTATTCTGACATATCTCTATTTGTGTCTGTAGCTATTATTTCATCTTATGTAAATTATCTTCTTTATTTTGACTTCTGGTGGCTGCCATTAATTTTGATTGGTGATTTTGCAAACATCATGGTTTGAGAGAGACTGAGTTTGCTCAGTAAAGTTTGACAATTTCTTATGGGTCGGTATATTATAATTAAATTAATAATTATAATATATATAGACAAAATTATTCATATAATTTTAGTTACTATTAATTAGCAAATTATCATAATCAGATCCACAAATATTGGATATTTTAGCAAATCTTTGAATGGCGAGGGCCATCCACAAACACATGTCAACAATGTACACATTATGAACACTCGGTCAATACTTTCATATACTAATATATAGTTGATAACGCTACCATCCCCCACGGCCTCCTCTATGGCCGCCTCCCCTCCCACCTCCACCGCCTCGTCCGAAACCGCCACCCCCGCGGTTAAATCCACCTCCTCGGCCACCCCCGCCTCTGTTGAATCCACCCCCGCCGCCGCGGCCACCGCCACCTCCTCTCCCAAATCCACCACCACGACCCCCACGTGGTCCACCACGTCCTCGGCCTCCGCCACCACGCTTAGCGCCAGGCGGCTGTGGCAGAAACCTCTTCAAAGGTAACAACTTGGCAGGATCAATGAAAAATTGCTGGCCCTCTTTAAAACTCTTAGCCTTAATATTCTCTCCGAGCTTCACAGACACGTAGTAATCTCGCAGATTGCCAAATATCTCGTCGATCTTGCCTATCTGCTCTTTATTTTCAAGATATATGGGTGCGTTGAAGTAAGGAACGTCTTCTATGTCCACTTTACACACAAGGTCGTCTTGAACGATCCAGCCGTAATGTCCCAAAGGGATAACTGATTCTGGAGGGCCGTAGTCCTGCTGTCTGAAGCCACCTCCGCCGCCGCCGCCACCTCGTCCTCGGCCACCACCGCCACCAAAACCGCCGCGACCCCTGCCGCCGCCACCACCTCGGCCGCCAAAGCCGCCACGTCCGCCACCACCTCCACGACCACGAAAAGACATTTTTACATATAAAAGTCCAAAACACTAAAATAACCTAAAATATTTTAAACAACACGCTTTCCGGGTATGTAGCGATTATCAGTGTTGCCATGTTGCACTAATAATCGCTAATCAATCCTAAAAAGTGCTAAATCAAATCGTGGTAATTCTAAATGTTTCTTAATTGACCTTATTAATGAATACATAAAATCTGTCTTATTGTTGTATATGTTATATATCTTTAAAACTAATTTTAATTAACCGATACCTTATAATACCGCAATAAAACTTTTCATATTTTTTTTCAAGCTGACTAAAAATGACAGAACTGACAAATAGTGAGTCAGTATGTCAATCAGTGAAACAAATCAATTTTGAGGTTCGTATTTCGTAAATTCAAATGAAATCCTGTTATTTATTTGTTGTATTGAAATAAAATTAATTTCTTGTGTGGAATGTAATGTCATGAAATGTAATTTATTGCATCTAATAGTTGCATATTTGTAATGATAATTTAATATTTACTTATAATTGTGTTTATAATGTACAGTTTATATAGAGAGTGTCAGTGAAAATATTTTTTGTGTATTCTTTCTATGCAGTTAAGCAATTTCTTAACGTTATTATCTCGTCGTGTCCAGACGTGTGTTTAGTTTATCAATTTGTCTGGTAATGGCAACGTTGGAAGATGAAAATCGTGATCTCAAAGAGAAAAACAATGAGCTGGTCCAAAAAGTACAGTATTGGAAAATGGCAGCGGCCGCCAAAGAGGACGAGAAACTGGAGTTAATGAAAGAAATTAACGAACTGAGACTGAAATTAAGCGTAAGTGCATTGAGCATGTCATTATTACGTTACCAATAGGCCCTGTGTTAAAAAATAATAGCAGTAAGTACAGTGAGTGGCCACAGTTTTCTAAAAACATTATATAATTATCGCGTAAATGTACCTATCATAAAGCAGAGTACTTCCACAATGCAAGTCTTTGTTGGCACTTATAAATGTATAACTGTACTGTAGTTTTAATTGTAATTGTAGATGTGTTAAATTTCATCACAGAGTGTGTGATTCCCAGTCATAGTGTTCTAATAATATACACATATATAAATGCAGAGCTATATAGTATGTGAAATATAAATCATCATCATGTGCTTCTTCCTTATCCCATTTATTTGGGGTCGTCGTAATATGTTTTTCACTTCCATTCATCCCTGTTCTCAGTCATCGCGTTATTTACTTTCTTTCTTACCATATCATCTTTCACACAGTCCATCCATGTCTTTTTCGGCCTTCCTCTGCCCTGTGAAATATAAATGATCTAAAGAAAATATGTGTTCAATAACATTCTACAATTTCTTAACATTTAACTGCAACAAACTGTTGACCACCTCAGCACTCAAAGAAAAGTTGCAGACAACTGCTGAGAATATTGCAGAAAAGCCGGCCATCATGTCTCATACTGTATGTAGAGAGATGTTTCTCTCTCTTCCATTCATCCTTGTTCGGGTCATCTGGTTATCTACTCCCTTTCTTGCTATATCACATTTTACACATCCATCACATATCTGGCCTTCCTCTACCCTTATAATCATCCACAATCATATGTAACATCTTTCTTAAAAAAGTATCATATAAGTAAGCATTTTTAAAAAAAAAAATTAATGGCATTAAATTAATTAAAATTCTGAATATATATTGCAGCATATTAGAAGTGGTGGGGCAGCAGAGGCCCGTAAGTTAGATGCAGCATTGCAATCCGCCAGTCTAAAGCTCTCGCATCTTGTACAAGCATCAACTGCTGTAGCCAGGTCCATAGAGCTGACAAAGGC